CTTGCCATATTTCTTTCAAACAACATGCATTCAATATTGAAAAACATTAAAAACTATAATGAATATGTAATATGGTGCATATATTAGGCAAAATGCTCCTCTAGAGTTAATTTTTCTAGCTAGCTAACGAGTTTATGGTCACTGGATATGTTTTTTTCTGCAGGTAAATGTGACGTTACATTACAAGCGTTTTATTGACGTCTTTCCACGGTTGAAACACTGATTGAGCGATTCCATGTTACATGATACGGATTTCAATAAGTTGTACTCTATCTTTTAACACACTTTCAGATGCTCGTTCATGTTTATTTCGCGCTGTAACTGGTATTATTAAGGCAGAAGAGAAGATCATGTGCGCTCCGCGCTGCTGCTTCTCTTGAGCTGAGCTGAGCCCGAGCGATCTCACGCCACAGCGCCAAAACGGTAGCCTGGATGCCAGCCCGAACCCCGCCCACAACATTTTTTGGTCGGGAAGTTCAGTCTGGACTCGCTCCATTGAGGCGTAATTCTGAGCATGTCAAAAAATTAAATGAACTTACGGATTCTATGGCTAATGTGTCGTCATGGCTAAAAGAGAACTGCTTGCAACTAAATGTGTTCAAAACAGTATGTATGTTTTTATCTAAGTCTAATAGTATTAATAGGGAGCCTGATGTTTATGTGTCAGGGATGAGGCTGCAGGTAGTGCCACAATATCAATATCTGGGAATACTGATTGACTCTAAACTTACATTTAAAGCTCACGTAAAAAAGGTTTGTAAGCAGGTTAAGTTTAATCTATATAATTTTAGGCTTACTAGAGATAACATGTCATTAGAAGCAGCTAAGATGTTTATGAATTCTATAAGAGATCTAGACACATATGCTTTATTTAGGGTTCAATTGAAAAAGTGGTTAATCAGTACTCAGATTTGTCAACATTAGAATCTCATATCTGCTAGCCATCCTATTATTGTTTCTATTTGCTTGATTGTTTTAATTGATCCAAAACTGTTTAAATAGCTTTTTATGATATTGTGTAATTATAAAAATTTCTATTATGTATTCTTAATCATTTTTTTCTTTAGGTTGACTTGTAACATCTTGATGGACATGATGGACAGATGATCTGCAGTTACGTAATCATCACGTTATCAAAGAGCGCTTGGTTTGAACTGGTTTCCCTCAAAGATGACAGCAGCTGGAGAATTGAGATTTATAGATTCCGCTATCGCGTCTGTCGTAAAAGAAATCGACAGGGCATTAATTTTAAAAGACGAAAAGAGAACTGCAATAAAGGCATTTGTCGATCGTCAAGATGTGTTTGCCGTCCTTCCTACAGGATTCGGCAAAAGTTTAATTTATCGCTAAGAATATGGGACGCAATGAAAAGCCTGTTGTCATTGTTGTTTCTCCTTTGGTCGCACTCATGGAAGACCAAGTAAAAGAAGCAACCGAAACGGGCATCAGGGCGATGCAACGCATGTCAAAGCCATCGCTACATCAAACAATGGTGACGCTTTGTTATACTGTACTCGCACACCATACCCATACTGGTAATCACTGTACCCCTTATGAGCGGTTTATTTTTTAAATATAAATAATTAGATGATGTTACTCAATTCAGTTTATTTGCCAGACTCATGTCCACGCAAGACAGAACAAAAAAACAAGACAAAGTACAAGTACAAGAATTACTCATCATTTTGTATTTAAATGATCATTAAAACATAATTTTGGCTCACGGTCTCTTTTCTCTGAAGACTCAAATGAACACGCTTCTTCAGCCTGGTGTCTTTCGTTAAAATCAGTCAAGTCGCGCTCCAACCCTGTTATAAAATTGAGACAGGTCAGACAAATGCGAGTAGATTTGTTGGCTTTACTGTCGAGATCTAATCCTAAACGGAGAACTTGTTCGTATGCATTCACATTTTCTATTTCGTTCAAAAATGTTTTTCGAGTTTGCAAGTACTCTGCGAATCCTTAAATTCTTTTTGCAACACCGGCAAAGGTCGTTAACACTCATTTTTCTTTTAAATACTTTTTCGTGAGTGCGTGCAGTGCAGTTCAGTTCTGTTGATATGAGTCGCTCAACATACGTCACTTACTGCATTGCCCTGATTGGTTGTAGGTCTATCCAATTGAGTGCAGAGTTTTTTTTTTCCTGGTTCGATTAAGACACGCCTCATAGCCCTATGGAGCAGTATCAGAGTCACATTCTGACTAGAATATGAGTATGACGAAGTCAGGCTACCCAAACGGTATTTATGTTTTTGAATTTCGTAAGAAAATGGACCTAATTTGAAATCTGAGACTTTGTTTCATATCAATAGTAACAAAGCACAAAGATTATTGCGATTTATTGGATGGAATGCTCGCTACAATGTTCTATTCATTCATCAACTGAAAACAGCATAGCCCAATGGTTCGTAAAAATCAATGAGAATCGATTAACATCGAGAAATCAATATTTTTACCTAGTTCAAGTAGCCTACATTTTTAAAAGTTTCTTCGTCGTCTGTTTTCTTGCGTTTATTTAGCTGATGCTGCTGATTGCCGTAACTGATCTATCTTGTAATATAACCTCCGTTTCCATGATGAAGGGAACAAGACGTTTTGTCCCTCCTGCCACAACACTGAACTACCCGCTAAAATGGCTGGGAGAGTGTCTCGGCACCTCAGCACAAACCTGAATGAGTGTATGCCAGCCATCTCCTTTCATACCTGAATGTCTGGAGGAGCGGCATGCAAATTCCACTTGCCAATTTTCATTGGCCTTTTCTGAAGTATCAGATGTGTTTGGGGCTTCCAAATGCAACCCCTAGTGTCACTACATCGACAAAACATCTTGTTTACATTAGTAACCAAAAAAAAATTGTTTACACTGAATTTGGATGTTGAGATTTTAGCTTCAGTTAATAATATTAGTTTTGGCCAACCATTTATACACAAATGCAGATTTTTTTGTAAATCCTCCCTTCCACTCTCTCTTCCAAAAGGAATTTGTGGTGGTCTCCAAATCTTTACATTTTATAAGAAACAAAAAAAGCCCTTAAGCAACGTAAACTTGTAAAGGTATGTTTTGTTGATTAAATGGGTCATATAATGGTACATGCACTTTTTCAAGTTGATTGTACTGAAATGTGTGTTGGCAGTGCCTGTACACAACCATCATATAATGATAAAAATCCATCCAGTGTTTTTGTTTTAATCTCCTTATATGTTTTCCCCTGCCTCAAATCGACCCGTTCGACCGTGTGACGTCACCCGCTCGGACGCCCCTCCCGCGATTGTTGAATGACAGGAGCGTTTCAACACAGACCCGCCCTCGCTCGTGAGCCAGCTGTCAATCATAGTCTGCGCGGACCGGCGCGGTCATTGTTGATATGCTGGAGCACTGTCTATGAGCAGAATGGCGTCTAAGCGATTGGTGTTCTGTTCTTGGGTGTAATAACGAACACAGCAGTCATTTTAATGTTCCTAAATCCGAACCGCTGAAGACGCAGTGGCTGAGTTTGTTTTCGAAGGGAATATTCCCCACGAGCAACGTCAATGCTTTCATGTTTGCGCGAATCATTTCTCACCAGACTGCTTTATAAACCAGCGTCAGTATAAAGCTGGTTTTGCTAAGAAGCTGCTCATGAAAAAAGGATCGGTACTATTCGTGTTCCTGCTGAACCTCTAGAACAACTGAAGTGAGTGTAACGTTTTATGAACCTTTATATTAATATTTATATCTTTGCAAATTGCTAGCTGCACGCTTCACAATGAATGCGTCTAAGGTTTACACTCAGGGTACATTACGGCATGTTTTCTATGTACGACGTTCTCAATATAATTCATAATCCCACGTTTATACTGAACAACGCGTTATGGTAATTGTGTTATAAACTTGTACGCACAGAACAGAGGGGCGGAGTGAGCACAGCTCATGATCATTTAAAGGCATATGCACTGAAACGGCGTGCTGAAAACAGAGCTGATATTTATATAAATAGATATATATAGAGAGATAGCTTCTGACAGTCAGAAGAGAGAAAAATGTCAAATTTCCAGTCACTCCCTCAGTACATGTATTATAAACTCAGAGGTTGCAGCAGTGTAACTTCTTTTTTTTTTTTTTTGCCAGGGTAATATAACAAAGTGTAGTGCTATAAATATAGGCCTATATGTTTTTTTAAAATAAAAAAATTAAAAACTTTTTTAAAAACTGTCAACCGTTGCTGAAATTATGCCATATTTTGTTCTTTACTTTACATTACATGTTTCTCCACGAAATTAATTTAAATCTTCCTGTCTTGTATTTTCAACTGTCTTGCAACCACACTCACAGATCAAAGAGAAAAATATGGGAAAAAATAGAGAGAGATGGCTTCCAGCAGTCAGAAAATTTAAAAATTACAGTCACTCCCTCAGCACTGTATTACAAATCCAGCAGTGTTGACTTTTTTTTTTTAAATGCCAGGGTAATATAACAAAGTATATTGCTATAAATGTAGGCCCTGGGCTCTGAACCGGTTCAAGGAACCAAAACAAAACAAAACAAAACCCGGAAACGAACGTAATTTTAACAGGAACAAAAACGAAAATGAAATCAAGTTTAAATGTTCCGAATAGAATCTATCATTAACCTGTTTATAACGTTATTTTATCGTTCTGTTTAAGATTTTAATTTGGCAGTCAACCAATCGTGAATTCAAATAGTACAGCCTATGCAAATGTGACATCCAACATGAGTGAAATGCAAAATGCAATGTGAAGGCAATGTGTTGGCATTAGCTGTTGGATCGCAGGAGTTTATCCGAGGATATGTTATCATGGCAGGTTATATCCAGCGTGGTGTGTTTTGAAACCAGTGAAAATTCCAGGTTAGTGTAGAACCTCTCCTATTCAGGAAAAAGTTTTTTTTGAATGATTAACACCTTGTTGTCAAAGTTAGTATTTTGGCTTTATGGTCAGACACTTGCATTTAGCAAGTTTGCAGAATAGCAAGAAATAAAGTCAGAATTTCAAGATATAAATACATTTCAAGATATATTAGATATTTGTTGAAACAAGCTTACATAGTATCATATAAGCTCACAAGTGAGAGAAACACATTCACAAATTAATAATGATTGTTCACAACTGCACAATATTTTTATGAAGTCTAAATTGTACAATAGCCTTCACACAAATGTCACGTCGAAGGACCTCTTGTTAAGGCGTGATGTTATAGGAGTCTAAAGATGGTTTCAAAAAGTTCCTTTAGCCTAGAGGTCATTCTACTGAAGTCATTATCCTGCAAAGAAGAGAAAGAACAATGCCAAATTTAGTTAATAAAAATAAGACAATATATAAGCACATTTTTAAGACTCCTGTCATTAGTAACAACTCACCCTGTTGGAAGTGAAACTCACCCTGTTGGAAGTCCATTGGTGAAAAACGTATTCGATATCAGAGACAAACTTTTGCACTGTTTGATAATCATTATTCTCCAGGTTCAACTTCACTCTGCCCAGCATCATAGGACCACAAATGCTCTCACTGTATCTTGGAACCTGAACAATATCAGTGCAGACGTTACATACTATATATTTACATTCCAACTTTAAATTATCTAAAACAGACAGAAGCTTTACATTAGTACAGGGGTCAGTCATGCTCTCATGTAGCAGGTGTAACAGCAAACACTGGCAGTGCTGAAAGATAAAAGACAGACAAACAAAAGTGTTAAAGGGATGGTTCTCACAAGTTTCTCACAAGTTTTTTTTTTTGTCTAAATGATGAAAGAAATGATATTTTCGACGCCAATGACTTCCATTGTACAGACAAAAAGTTTTGCATAAACTTTACCTGTGTGTACTGAGAGACCGGACTGCTCAAAACTTCCTGTTGGGTCTTTTGACTGGAATCCTTCATATTCTTTATCACACAAATTGTGCAGCTCCACTGGCTTCAGTACAGACAAAACACACAATATTACACAAGTCAACTGTTTATCTTGCCTAAACCAGGTAAAGGTTTTCTCTCTCTCTCACCCAGGTGAGTCTCCATCTACAGCTGGTAGGTGACAGTGTGAATGAAAAGCTCGTGGACATTCGTCACAACAAACCAGATCTCCCTCAGAGTCACACACGAAACACACGTCATCATTCTGCTGGGACAAGAGTTCATAAAGAAACAAAACTGTACCGTCTTAAAACAGATTTGAAATGTGATGTTTGATATGACTGTAATTGTGACTGATGATTTCTTACTGGGTCTTCTTGATCACAGTCGACTGTATGTGGTTCCAAAACTCTTTTCTGGAAAGTATGTGAAAGCACATCATAGGCTATTGTGTTTACTGCAATAAAACTTGATCGGCCACTGCCATCCCACAGGCAGCGTTCCAGACAGACTGGTAGTCTATCATTAGTGGTGGAAACACCAGTAGGTGGCGACAGGATGTCAAAAACATCAATACATTCAGGAAAAAACAAGTGAATATCTGAAATCAAAATAGCATACTAGCCTACTTTGACTATTTCTGTCATATAAAAATATTTAAAAGTATGTAAGAATAATAGAGTGTATATTGATTTATAAAGTTAAATTTATATTTAGGCTAGTGTACTATAAGAGTATATAGTGAGAATATATAGTATAGTGTATTATAAGAGTATACACTATGCTATTCTGAATTTAACCACTCTTTTTATTACTGAATCATTCGTTTGAACAATTCATTTTAAAAAAAACCCGGATTAATTCAGAAACAAGTGACCTTTTAAATTCGTAATAGCATTACCAATACAACACTTGTCTGGCAGCACAAAGTTGCCAGCCCCAAGTAACAGCACAAAATAAACAATAATGAACATTTGAGGATATGTTGAAAGATGCAGTACAACTTAAGGCCAAAGTATACTTAACTTTTTACGTGTAGGCAAGCGTCAGCATACAGTGCACGTGACCAGAATTTCATCATCAGAAGAGAACACGCATTACTGGATTTTTAAGATACAGATTTAACCTCCTGGCACCTCTCAGGAATCTGATGACCAGGTCATGCTTTCCCAGTGACCTGCCATCAACAGCATCATGATGTGCTGCGATGGCAGCGACATACACCCTCAAGGAAGAAAAGCACAGAGCCGATCAGGCATTTGCGGGGGTCTTCCCACCGGGAAGAACACCACTCAGCAAAGCATAAGCACGCCGAGTAGACGGGGCTCTAGCTGAAGTGATAGTGTCAACTACGACACAACTAACAAGACCTGCTCCCCGTCCTCCCTGATCTTGCACAGTGTTTGTGCGAAAAGGCTCACCGGGGGAAAGCATATTGACGTAGGCCGAAAAGGCTGAAAAGCACTGTGAACCGTGCCCCGCACCCAGAAACCAATCATCCAACTGCGAGTGCTCTGGAGACGGTGAAGAGTTCAATCAATCAATCAATCAACATTTATTTGTTAAGCACATTTTAAAACAACACAAGTTGGCCAAAGTGCTGTACATGTCTAAAAATTACTCAATAAACACTCAACAAACAGTACTCAACACAAAACACTCGGCCAATATACAACCCTAATCAGTATCCTGAAACCTAGGGGCAGTTGTGTGCCACAGCGTAGAGGTGTGTTTGCAACATAGATTTAAAACATTCTAACGAGTCACAGGATCTGATATGCAGAGGAAAATGCACAATCTCCTTTGGATTTCAACCATGATTTTGGAACACGTAGGAGCACTCAAGCCCGATGCCAGCAGTGGCCCGGGAAAGCATGGCTGTCAACTCTGTATCCGATTCAGCTTGAGCAACCACCCCAGAGGGGTGCAGCCTATGCAGCTTCATAATCCTCTCCAGAGGACCAAAGCCCACTCCCCGATGCAGCGATAGACATCCGATCCGGAGCGCCGAATGAGACACAAGGTGCCTCATGTGAGGGACCCATGCTAACATTGCATGCTATGCAGTGGGATGTTTGTGGGGGTGGGCCCGATGAAGAAAATACCAATCAGATCTCCCAGAGTGCTAACCAGACCCACGGCTCTACTATGAAAAGATGCGGGGGGCTGGGTAGCAGCAGAGGGGACTCGTGCCTCCGTACTAAAGAAGGAGAGTCATGACCCCAATGCCAACATGGACATGCTCTCGCAGTGAGAGCATGCACCATCCACGAACGCTCTCTCTGCATGCTGTTTGCCCAGGCATGAGAGACAGGGATCGTGGCCGTCAGATGAAGTCAGGAAACGACTGCATCCAGAAACACACGGACAGAAAGACAGCTTGAAAACATCTTGCTCTTTTAGGAAAACTGCTCTGAACTCCAAAGCGCCAAAGGGTTCAGGCTACAGGGTCTTATGGCGTGCACGTACGTGCACAGTAGCGCTGCACCACTGGAGGAACGCGGAGTTTTACGCGCATGGGACCCCTCTTGGGGCGATTATGCTGCGGAAAGTAGTAACGACAGACGCGTCCTTAACAGGATGGGGAGCCACGCAAGAGGGCAGAACAGTGAATGGTGTGTGGCCAAGCACACTTCACTCAACCCATATAAATTATTTAGGGCTCCTCACTGTGTGGAAGGCTCTGAATCACTTTCTGCCCCGCTTGCAGGGGCATCATGTACTGGTGCGCTGCGACAACACGACAGCTGTAGCATATATCAACCGCCAGAGGGGGGGATGCTCTCCTCCAAGCTGCATGCTCTCGCTCACAGGCTGTTAGTATAGAGCAGGCGGCACTTCCTGTTGTTACGGCGACTCATGTCCCGGGCATACTGAACAGGGGCGCAGACCTCTTGTCAAGGGGAAACCCTCTCTACAGGGACTGGCGCCTCCATCCTCAGATAGTGGGTCTACTGTGGAGGAGGTTCGGCCAGGCAACCGTAGATCTCTTCGCCTCGCGCAAAAACGCCCATTGTCTTATGTTCTTCTCGCTACAGGACGAGGACGCCCCCCTCGGCGTGGACGCACTAGCCCATCCGTGGCCCAACGTGCTGCTCTGCGCATTTCCTCCCCTTTGTCTCATAACGCCGTCTCTGGCCAGGGTGAGGGAATGGAGCTTGACCATGATTTTGATAGCTCCCAGGTGGCCCAGGGCACTGTGGCTCTCAGAGATTATCCCTCTGCTGTATGCCCAGCTGTGGCCCCTCCCACTTCGCACAGACCTTTTGTCCCAAACGAACGGGTAAATTTACCACACCCACATGCAGACAGGGTGGCCCTCTGGGCCTGACCCGTGAGAAGGCCAACTTAAACACATTGGGGCTCCCACCACGTGTTGTGGCCACCATTCAGTGTGCCAGAACCTCTTTGACACGGCCCCTTTACAAATGGAAGCTTTAGCGTTAAGTTCTGCCCAAGTTCTGACTCAATTGCTACGTCACTTATTACCTTCTCATCTATCCAATCGTGTCTAATATTTGCGGTATATAAGACCGATACTTACACATGTTTGAGTTCGCAGATGCTGACGCTTTTATTTACCTCCATCCTCCCCACCACCTCCAAGATGGTCCCTTCCCCTCCATCCTCCCCACCACCACCAGGATGGTCCCTTCCCCTCTATCCTCCCCACCACCACCAGGATGGTCCCTTCCTATACCTCCCAGGGGGTCGGCTGCGCCCCTGCCTTCGTCTTCAGGCAGGAAATGCAGAGTCCGGACCCTCAGATTGCGAGCTATGAACTTAGCCTACGCCAAAGAACTTTATTGCTTGCTGGGCTATCAATAAATGTATTTATTGTTACAGTATTTATTCTGCCGAGTCTTTCTGGTTGAACTGTAAGTGGCATGTGTTCGAAGAGTGGTGTGAAGGGCGACGGTTAACATCATATCAGTGCTCAATCACTGACATTTTTATGCTTTTTGCAGGACCTTATGGATAAGGGAAGATCCTTTTCCACTATTAAGGTTCCTTGAGGGTGTAAGGTTTATTTATGGGGACTCTGAAGGGCCCGGCTGTCACGGCTCAATGTGACCGCCTTGTCTGTTAATACTGTATCTTTATATGATATATTTTCTTTTACCGTTATAAGTTTTCCAAGGGGCATTCCATGGGTAACAATGTCTTTCCTCCATGTTCCATCTGGTTTGTTCAATCTGATGAAATCCCCTGGGCTCAGCCAGGAGTTCTCTGTTCTTATGCATCTCCCACAACGCTCTGAAAAAAGAGAAAACTAAGTGCAAAAGTCTTGTACCACTTCAGTCAAGCACTGTATTTACATTCATTGTCAATATGTTGTCTTACAAAACACTTAGTGAGAGTGGTAAGCAGGGCGGGGCCGAGAGCCATGGGAATGGAGCAAGGCTGGTGGCGCTAGTGCTGATGAGCATCACCTGCACGCCACACCAGTGTCGAGTCTCACTGAGGAGCTCTGGGAGGATAAAAGGAGGAGCGACGACAGTGAAGGACGAGAGAGGACCATGAAGGCCTGGAATTTATTTTAGTGTTTTATTATATTTATACGCGGCAGTCGTCTGCGAGGGGCTGCCGCTTTATTTTTGTTTTGTTTTTTGTTTATTTGGTGATTAAAAGTTATGTTTGTCAGTTCCCTCCTCTTTCTTCCCTGAACTTGAACTTTGTTATAGTAAAAAATGTAAAACACTGTCAACATATTAATATTCAATTATTCTCACTCACACACCTGTGGCAAAGCGACATTTGTATAGGATGCCAGAGCCAGAACCGCAGGTAACAGGTAGGGTAGGACGTTCAAACACGCTCATGTCAATACCATCATCATCATCATCTTGATTTTCCTTCTCATCTGATTCTACAACAAATACACAAACACGCAGGAAACAGAATATTTTATTAAATATATTTCTGAATAACTGTTTAAAATGAATTTAAATGAATTTTTTTTTTTTTTAACAATTCTGTCATAGTTTACTCACCCTGTTTTTCCAAACCCACAGGGTTTATTTTCTTCTGCAGAACATAAAATGAGAAATGTTGATGAACATCTTGGTCACTCTTAACTTAAGTCGCATGTAATTGTTTCAGTCTAGAAAGGTTAAAGGGATAGTTCACCCAAAAATTGAGCGTCAGCGTCAGTTCTGGCAGGCCAGGTAGTCAAGCCGCTGCTTATGCTATTTGCTATCAACACTGTCCCGTCAGCTGATCTGCTCCAGCTGAGCTGCATTAGCTGGTTAACTCCCCTCGCTGCTCAATGGCCAAAGCTCAAACAAGGCGCCCTATTTAAAGCTCATTCACCTTGCTCATACATGCTCGCTGCTCGCTTCTGCTGCAATATTGACACAGGACTCGACGTGATTCATTCTCCATTCATCTCTGAAAATCTTCACGAAGCTAAGTTCCTTTTTAATATTCATTGCTAAAAGCTATCAGTGTGTTGGCAACATGCTTCTTGTTAATGCTATCCGTGTGTGGCATTTGGGCTTATCCAGTGGCGGTTCTAGAGGGAGGCCAGGGGGGGCCAGTGCCCCTGTGACAAAAAGCTTGGCCCCCCTTGTGGCCCCCCTAAATGTGGAGTTTGAAATAATTTTTACAAAACTGTTTTTTGCTATCGTTGTTATCGTTGTATGCGTATTATTTTTTCTATTTATTATTCTATCTTTGTGGATTTGTATTTTCACGTGACAATTCGCATCACATTCGCGGGAATCGCGGCAGAATAACGTCTGTCTCCTGCACGCGAGAGAGGAGAGAAGGAGAAATTGGTAAATGTCAGTTCAGTTGTAAGTTCATTCTTTATGTGCGTATGGGGTGTGCGATGTGTATTGTCTATTATGATATTGTAAATCATTGTTTTAACTATGTACGAGGCACTGTGAGGTGACATCGCATTTGTCTATCGTCCTTTCAGTGCTGTGTGCAGTTCATAGGTAGGCTATGTCCCCAAATTAGTTTTTGTCTTAAATTTATATCATATTATGTTCTTATATTAGAATATCACATCAGCAAGGGTGCAGTTTTCCCGTGCACAATTGCAACTGTGATATTTATGTTATACAACAGTTAAATTAACAATAAGTTAACATTGGGAGTTACTTTTTAGACACAATATTGTCAATATTGTTTGTTTTCCCTTTATTTCGCCGACTAGAATTTCATAATGAAACCGTAGCAGAGTCTCAATGCAACACAGCGATGATTTATTGACTAGTCTGAAATCCGCGTTTTGAACGAATCACTTGCTTCTTTCCCGAATGAATCAGCCGTTTGAACAAATCGGTTGTATGAATCCCTCTTACAGGGACTTGCCGCCGCCTACTGGCGGTTTTAGTTTCATATTTAAAGTATCCTTTAATTAAAACGTTAAAATTAGAAATCATTTCATATTTAAATATTGATTTAAAAAAAATCTCATAGCTTTATTTATGCTATTGTAAATGGAGTGTAAATGTATTAATGCCACTTCTGTGTCACCTCTGCACTGCAAAGATGGATTTTGATTGAATTAATTAATTTGACTGGCAGCAGTGGTACTGTATAATTATTGTATAATTAAGTATTATTGTATAAATAAGTATAATTATTGTATAATTTGAATGTTAGTATTTGACATAAAAGGTGATGCATAACTCTAAATAAGTTTAGAAAAAATGTCCATATATAGGTGAAAATGCCCCTGGAAATCAATTTAAGGTGGCAAATATTGCCCCTTAATTTTTTTTATTTCTGTCACTGCTGTGAACTGACCATATAATACGAAAAATATGAATATCTTCGTGAGTCAGCTGTCAACAACAGGCCTAAACCAGCCATGGCACCAGCACAAAAACACAATCAGTAAAATATCATCTAATTATTATCAACAAAACGTTGAAAATATTGAAATATATTTTTGTCAATATTGCACACCCCTAATGTACGGTATTAATTTTGATTTCTTTAGGTCTTAAAAAGCCTTAATTTTTTTTAAAAAGTGTGCAGGAACCCTGTAAACGGTTAGACGTAGTTACCTAGAAAGTCAGTTATTTTCAGTAAATGAATTAAGCTTCTTGGTCCCCATTGCTTTTGCTCTATAGTTCTCAAAATGAAGAGAAAGAAGGACATCAGGTCTATTACAGTTACTGTGACTAATACTGAATATGTAATGCAAATGTAAAAATATAATGGAAATGCAAATACATTGTTGAATGATTATAAACACGGCATTTTGCCTGTTAATGCCTGCAGTAGTGCAGAAAATGATAGGACAACAATAAGGTCTAAATGTAACTGGCCCCTCTAACAGTAGGCTACAACTGGCCCCAGCTTGGCCCCCCCCAGTTGAAATGGGCTAGAACCGCCACTGGGCTTATCTAACTAGTCGCTTTCATAAAAATGCTTATGCGATCATATTGGCTACGTGCATTATCAGTTGTCATTGGCAACTGATCGCGTTGCTCACGCTGGCTTTTACCACTATGCAGCGCAGATTCAAACAGCTTGCTGTGATAGGAATTAACTTCTGCGGACTGCCTCCGGACCGTATACAGCTCATTCTTACGCATTGTGCAACAACTACGGCGGCGACACTCGCTCCGGTTTAACCCTTTAAGCTATGGGGCGGTGGTTTCTGCTGCTTACGAACGATACCTCTGTCCCGATGTTCGGGATATTCTTGACGACCAGAAGCCATGAGCTCAAGTCTCTGATTTGTTTCGTTAATAAAACACATTTGATCATTATTTTGCTCGCGCTCTGCTCAGTATAACACCCCTGAATGCGCTATCAGCTGTTAATTTATTCATCTAGCTCAGAGGTGGATTAGTCATCTATCCATAGAGCTTACACTGTAGACTGTCAAACAGTTTAAATACAGATAATCTAGGTAACAGCATGTTTTAGCTATTGCGGTCTTGATTAGTCATTTCAGTAATTAATTAATATTTTTACTATTATAAATCGCTAAATTAGGGCGGCTCAGTCGACACCGTTCGAGACACTCAATTTTGTTTTGGGGGGAATAGCTCATGTGGTCAAATAAATCATCCTCTGTATCACAGAGGATTGCCAGGTGTGGTTTTGTTTGGGGGGATATTTTAGCTCTCACAGTCTAAAACTGTGTGAGCGTTCCCTAATGCTGCTGCTGCTGTCCTCTGACTCTCTGCTATTTCATGGTGCTCATGAAAGGTCAGAGGACTCCCTGAACAGAGCCATACCGCCAAATTTCAATTCAGGAACATCAACCTGTTTGCAATCTATTCAAATTAATTCTTAATTATTTTGTCTGTGTGTTCTTGACTTAATGGACCTGACAGAAATGAACATTCTGTCATTATTTACTGACCCTCAAGTTGTTCTAAACCTGTATGCATTTCTTTGTTGTTCTGCTGAACACAGATTTCTGGTCCCCACTGACTTCCACAATATTTTTTTTTCTTATACTATGGAAGTCAATGGGGACCAGCAACTGTTTGTACATATACTTCAAATGATCTTCCTTTTTGTTCAGCAGAAGAAAATAACTCCATGCAGTTAGAAAAACTTGAGGGTGAGTAAATAATGACAGAATTTTCATTTTTGGGTGAACTATCCCTTTAAATCCTTCATCAAATCGGATACAAAAACCATACAATAGCAGCCAAACCTGTGCGTCCTGAACCTTTCTTTTCACAAAGTTTTTAGATGTAAGAAAACCATCCTATGAATAGAAAATGGCACAAATTCAGAATATGTCATGAACATATATGTCATCAGTAGTGTTATATTTTCTTCCCTATGTCCATTTTCATATCAGGGAACTGTTATTTACTTGGAATTTCTCAAATTAATTCCAACTCACTAATCACCAAGGCCATGATAAAAAAATAAGGTAATTATAATTGCTCTAGTGCATTAGTTGAAACTGTTAGTATTATGTATAGAAACCAAATCTTATGCACCTCTATGAGTTTCTGGAGTGGAATCCCATTGCTAAGGATGCTGATTTTCCACTTTTTGTTCCTGTCCATCATCCCAAACCTCTCGAACTCAGTGGGCTTGAACCACTGGCCTTCACTGAAGATGCACTCCTGTTCTAAGGACAGAAAGAGTTTATTCAACCACTATTGGCATGACTTGTGAGCACCTGGATGTTAGATGATCCAGAATTACAATCTCGAGACATTCAACAACTTAGCTCCTCATAAACATTACTCAATTCTTTAACAGAAACGTTTATGCACCTACTGTTATTATATTTCTTCAAATGCAAGAAGCCCTCTTTATAACCACATGTAACAGGAAGTTGAGATTCATTTTGTTCTGCAGACGATTCTGAAACAAGTACAATCAAATCAGTTAGCGTAATGTGCACCTCTTAATATTTTAAAGAGCATGCCTGATTAATTATACTGTCTTGTCATTAAATTAGTAAAAATGCTTTAGACTCACTGGGGCAGTTTTGTCTCTTGGCTTGTTTCTTCTCTGATGTGCAGAGGGAGGACGATCCCATCAGCTGTCTCTTCTTACAGTTTTGTTTCTCCATCTTCCTCTTTTTATCCCTTGATGTCCTTTATTTCTAACGCTGTTCTCACTCAGCCATTATTTGAACAGCAGGAAGTGGACGGGTTCCGCCATGTTGAGTTGTCTGTGGTGCAGTGCCTCCCTCTCACATCACAGAAACGAAACTGAAAGCTGCATTTCCTTCCGCCTTCAGTAAAGATACACTTCTGCACTAAAGGCGGTTTATTCAACCATTGCTGGAATGACTTCTGGATGCTCTAGAATTATGATCTCTTGCAACTGAGTGAAAAATAAAACTATTGTTAGGGGTAAACAGTTACAGACCCAGAACCAGATATGATGAATGAAGACCCGGAGTCAGAATTATAATAAATTAAAGAAAAGATTTACTGAAGATAGTTTGCAGTTTCATCAGGTAGAAGTCAGCTTCAAGACTCACATGGAGTTCGTAGGCCGCTCCACTTACAGTTACAAAGATCACAGCAGTTATACCCTTCACCAAGGTCTAAGCTACGTCCTTGCTTACAGGTTGAATGATTCTCATTGGCTAAGAAATAGACAAACATAGTAATTTTCCACACATGTACAGATAGACGGAAGCATATCTCCATCGATTATGCAGCTGACACAGGATGAAGTTAGGCACGTCGTGACCTTACAGGTCGCAGATTTGGGTTGCTGGGTGCCAGCATGTCCAGAACAACAACTCAGTCAATCTCCAATAATGCCAGTGGTTCCTTAACCTGTAACAAAAAAGACTAACACACACACCGACACACAGCTTTTCCAAGGTTGGATTTGGCCAGGCTCTAACTGTAAACAGGAGAGTCCTCTCAAAACATCAAGATAATGGGTTCTTTCTCTCAAGGAGAGCTACACTTTAATCTAACTGGAAAGTAAGGCTTTAACAAAGAAATGGTCCCTTAAACTATTGGCTTCAATGACCCCAGACCTTTCTCAAACACAAAACAAGTTCATATTTCATTTCTGGAAGCCGGGCTAAATAAGCAAGCACTGTTGCATTCAGATATCAAATACAGACATTAGAGAATACATGAAAAGAACATTTCAGTAATCACACTGGTAACTTCTATAATAAAGTAAAATCTCACAAGCCTAGAGAAGTCATTCAATTCATTTGATATTTAGAAGGACAAATATTGATTAATACCTTGATTATAATCACTCATACATTGAAGCAGCAGTGGATTCCAAATCCACCCCCTTCTCTATAAAAACAACAGATGAGAAAGGATATATAATTTTTTGGCTTGTCCACATAATGCAAATATTTTTCAGAACCTTCTAATGGAAATGGATTTTCAGAGCAGTATTGCAATATTTGAAAAAAGATTTCATTAACATGCTGAAATTATGAACTACTTTACTGTCCTCTTTCACACAGAGACAATAAAACTTAAACATCAATATTCCTTAAAATCTTTAATGTGTTAGTTAGTGATGGCTAACAATAAAGTAAAGTTTAACCATAACTTAGCTAAATAGTACAAAAATATAAACAAACATTTTTATTGTTTATTTCATGTGACATGGTTGACATGCTATGTTTGACGAATCTTGTCAAGGATGAACAAAAAAAAAATTATGAATGTTACATGAAAATAGAACTTGCCAACATTTGAACATGACTCAAAGATGTCACTTCCTCTCGATCATGGAATTCGGCAGTTCACTGTTACGGGTCTATGAGGGAGGACTCAAGCGCAGAATGAGTGTTAAAGGGTTTTATTGAAAGACAGTTGACAAGACGAGAAATGATGGGTGAGGAGGTGATAACAGTCCAAACAGGCAGGGAACAAGTGTTAACGGGTTTTATTGAAAGACTGTTGACAAGACGACAAATGGTGGGTGAGGAGGTGATAACAGTCCAAACAGTAGGCAGGGAACAAAGCACAATGATAGGCAAGCTGACAGGGTGGCAGTTGAGACCAGCCCAAGGTGAACACACTGGTGTTCTGAGGTAGATGAGCAGCACAAGGCCAATGGATGCAGCAAGAGCCAGACAGGATAATATATCACACGTAGATGGACTCACAGGGCACAATCAGTCACTGCACCGGTCTCGCTGCTTGGTAGAGAGGAAGCAGCTAGCTTGCAGGGCTGGAACAAACAGCACAACAAACGCAAGACGCAAGCTGTGTCCCAATGTGAAGGCTGCATCCTTCGAAGGCCGCTGACTACGAAGAATGCAGCCTACGAGTCCTTCGAAGGACGCACCATGTAGCCTTCGTAGGATTTCCTAATTGCACAACCAGATGTTCCCTCCTGGCACCAAGTAACGGTGTTAGAGTACACTGCCATCCTGATAATTAATTTGTTATAATTGAGTAAACAACTATGGTGCAAGAATTGGCTATTGTCATTTTTATGTTTTATATTTTACTCGAGGACATGTGAGGATGTTTCAGCCCTGGCGCTCTTATTTAAGTGTTATTTAAGGTTCAAATGTTCACTTATATCTTACCTTGATGCGATTTTGTATAGTGTATTATTTTTATTATGTACAGAAATGGACCGTGGTGAATATATTTACACAGTTTTTTAACCCTATTTGAATATAAAGCCCAATGCAAACGTTGCTCCCGCTCATCATCGGCAGCTGTCAGTCACATTTGCTAGGTGACCAGAACAATCCGTAAGCTAGACCGGTCCGAGCGCTTCAGATGCACACTTTGATATGGGACGCAGCTGTAGTTGGCAACAATTTGTTAATATTGTGGCAATAGGCCTACATTTTGTTACTTTCATTTTAAAAATAACCAGTGGTGGAGTGTAAGGAACTACTTCGTTAATATTCACGTACAAATGTGAAGTAGGCAACTTTTTTTTCCCACACAGAACAGCAACACTACAAAATTATGTTATTTTACAATATGATACATTGTTTTACATTAAACTACACAAAAGTATATACATGACTAGTAGTTTCTCCCCAATGCGGTATTAGTGGTTATTAAAAGTACTTTAGCGTAATAAAGTAGCCTAATATTTTTTCCATGAGTCAGCCCTGCAAACCTTTTGGTCAACAACTTAGTGGATAGTGGAAATATGCAGTCAAACACTCAGAGCCCATCCCCGATGATCCCAGTCTACATCATTCTTTCTTATTTTATTAACTGTAAATGTTAATTTTGAAATGTTTAACATATATTGTAAATAGTTGGAAAAAGTACTTTTATGTAACCCACAAATTATTTTCATTTACCAATTTTAATTGAAAAAAGGTATAAAATTATTTGTTTCGTGTAGAAATTATGACGGTCATTACAAAAATAAACAATGTCCAGAGCAATAAATTCTCTTTTATTTAAAGTTGCATACAAATGTACAGAAATTATTTTTTTCCCCTTCTAATCAAGTCCCAAAACTTGTCTTCTCTGTTTCGCCTTCTTCGTGGTGCGGATGCTTGTGCTCATGCTTGTGCTCATGCTGGTGCTGCTCCTCCTCACCGTGGGCACCCACTGCTGAAATTGTCCTGGTCTGTCCTCAGGGATGGAGGCAATGAGGACAGGGGGGCGGTTGGTGGAGTGCTCTGTCCCAACACATCATCCATAAGGACAAACCAGGGCCGAGTTCAGCAGTGGGTTTTCCACTCACACCTTCACCTGTCCCAGGACACTTGCAATCCTAAGGCAGATCAAATTAACCATGGCTTGTTAACAACAACAGCACAATAAATTTCAGTAAAGATGTGTGAATTAACTTTCTTACTTTGTATTTTTTTTACCTGCATGGGAGTTGCCTTCCCCAGCAGACCCATTTTCTCCAGAATAAGAATTGCTCTAAAAAAGCAGAAAAGGGGTGAAAAATATTAACACAGGGGTGCAATCTTAACATTAGTGCATTGTTAACACTGCAAAATATGACACATCAGGACATACAAAATACTTCAGAAATCATATTTCTGGATACTCAAATTTGGTTAAAACCTTTGTAGACATAGCTTGCATTACAGCACTACAAAAACACATAAAAGTGAAACCCCATTGCCGTATGTGCTGCTTTTCTTATTGTTGTGGGCTTTATAGGGTGAGTGATATTTCTTATAATACACAAGTGAGACAGCCCAGTGCAAATATTACAATAAAATTTAATTTATTTGGTTTAGTTTAGTTTCTTTATTTATTTCATTTACATTTTGCTGTCTGCTCCTTGCTCACTGAAACAATTAAAGTAATATTGGCACAAGTTTTGCCTCAAACTACCAGACAATGGTGACGAATGAGTTAAGATGAAGTTTATAAGTAAGAAAAACTTGTGGCTTTTAACTCTGGGTTCTCTAGCTATTTGAGTAAATGAAAACATAATACTTACATTTAAATGTGAATTTGCCATCCACCAACGAACTCTCGAACTTTAAATAAAAATGCTGTCGCCACCAGTGCGCAATGACTTATGGGGTAGGATAGGCCGCTTAGGATCCATTTATGCATCCTCTCTTTCACGGGGAAACGAAGGGTGCATTTCGTGTTGCTTTTGAATCAGGGTAGCCCTCGTCGCGCTGCGGTGACGCAACCGGCCTTCGGAGGATGCTGAATTGAATTGGGACCAAGCGGCAACATTCTAATCTGAAAAATGAAGCCTACCTGGAAGTGTGAAAAACTGCAATACATCGAAAATCCGCTAGAGGGAGGTCCCAAAAGGGAGCAAATCTCCATAGACCCGCATGTTAAAATGTCAGTTTTCACAGCATAAATTCATGTTTATACAGGTTGGTCTCATGGACTTTTATTGTATTTTTCGATAGGTTCCGAGTGCCTGACAACTGTGAGGGGGGTGAATTTTTTTCTAACTCGGTAGTTTAGATCGTATTTTGATATAAAATGTATGACAAATAAGCGCGTGATTGACAGCTGATAACGGGCTGCGCCGAGTGGAATTCCTGAAATTTGACCTCGGCCATGATCTGACACAACACATCATACCACCTCTGTATCCTTTCTGAACATTTGTATTTGAAATATCGTAAGATTTTCCAAGATGGCACCGCCCATACCCCCCATAAACAGCCTCAAAACCGTTCTTCAGAAGGCTATGGGTGACGTCACA